ACGTCCGGGGGACGCGCAGCCCCGCCCGCCCGCCCGCCCGGGACTCCTCCAGTCAGCTCGGGGTGGCGGGACGCAGCGGGTCGGCCGCGAGCCCGGCAACGCCCTCCCCGTCGGATACAGAAAACAGAATTTTTTTTCTGGGCTCCTGTGACTCGCGGTCCCCGGGGAGCCCGTTTGTGCGGCCGAGCAGCGGGGCGGGAGCGGCCGCACGCCTGGCTCTGTGAGGGGCCTGAGACGGCCCCAGGGAGCGCGAAGGCGGCCGCGTCCGGCCCGCCCGGCAGCTCGCCCCGCTCGCGCCCGCCGCCCGCCGCCGCGGAAGGATCCCGGCCACGCGGCCGCGCCACACGCCGCTCGCACGCTGATTGGCTGGCGGGGAGCTGGCCCCACATCAGGCCAGGCGGCCGTGCGGCGCGGGACTGGGCCCGGCCGGCAGCCAATCGCAGGGCGCTCCGACGCACGGCCGCGCCTCCCGGCCAATCGGAGAGGGGGCGCCGGAGAGGGCGTGCCCAATGAGAGTCGGGCCCTCGAGGGGGCGGGCCGCCGCGCGGCCTGGGCGGGCCGCCGTCACCTTGACAACCCAACCGTCAGGCCCGGCCCGGCGGCTCGGGGATCCCCGAGCGGTCCACGTGCGCCCACTGCTGGGTCCTGCGGGGCGCGTCCCCCTTCGTGGGCGCCCGGAGGCCCGGCACGTGCCAGACTTCGCTGCTCTGGGGAATGATGGGCCAGGCAGTGCAGTGGGCAGAGCCCGGTGCTTCCTACCCACCGGGGAAATAGAATCAACCGTTCCCTGGATGCAGAGCCGGGGCGGGAGAGGGGATGGGGATGGGGCCCGAAGAAGCAGGGGCCAAGTGGCCTTTTTTTTTTAAAAAAAAATAAGGGGCTGCTGACTGGCTTTGGTGCAAGGTGCTGCTCCCTGCTCAGTGCTCAACAGCCGCCCCCAGAGATGCTGGGGCCCCTCTGACGCGGGGGATGGCACTTGGGCAATAGGCAGCCGGGCTGGGCCCTCCCAGATGGGAGGCTGCATGTTCCCGACCCAGTGCCCGAGTGCGGGGCCAGACGCTAGGCGTTGGAGGAGCTGCCCTGTGCTGGGGAGGAGTCCCATCGCAGGCCGCCCGCAGCCAGCCGGGGTGCAACGCCTTTCCCGGTGATGCACCCCAGCTCCCCCAGAACAGAGCCACGGGAGGTGGGGGTAGGAGGGGTGGAAGTTATGCGGTTCCACGCAGGAAGTGAGTCAGATCTAGGTGTCTTCTCTGGAGTGATACACTCCCCACCCACACTCAAAGGCTGGGCGCACAGGAAGAAAATGACGTGTGCCTCGAATTCCTATTTTAAATGTTTACCCCTGGTAGGGTGAAGCCTTTGGTTAAGGTTATTTGGGGGAGCTGCAGTGCTCAGGGCTCTTCGACCCAGTGAAACTTATTTTTTTGTGTGGCTTTTTGGGTCACACCTGGCGATGCTCAGGGGTTATTCCTGACTCTGCACTCAGGAATCACTCCTGGCGGTGCTCAGGGGCCATGTGGGATCAAACCCGGGTCAACCGCGTGCAAGGCAAACACCCGCCCTTCCCGCCTGCTCTGTAGCTCTGGCCCCTCAGTGAAACTTATACCATAAGATCTTATCCAGGGTCTGGGGTCATAGTACAGCGGGGAGGGCACTCGCCTTGCACACAGCCAACTGGGATCTGATCCACTCCAGATGGTCTCCAGAGCCCCAGGTGTGATTCCTGGTGTGGAACCAGGAATAGCCCCTGAGCAGGTGTGGCCCCAAAAACAACAGTAGACCTTCCTTAGACAGGAGCAAGCCTGTTCAAGGTGCCAACTGCCCTTATGAGAAAGCCCTGCCCTTCAGCAGTGGCGGAATGCCCAGAGCCCACAGAGCAAGAGAGAAGCTGCACCCCCAAGTGTGACTCGGAGGGAGGTTCTGGAGTGCCGCAGTAGCGTCCCTGCGACTCCAGTCCGGGACTTCGGAGCGTGGGATCCGAGGCTCAGGCTCTGGCACCTGGGGCGCCCTCCTGTGGCAAGTCGGAGAGTGAGCCGTGGGAAGCCACGGGACTGAAGGCCCTGGACTCGTGACAGATTTTTATCTAAGTGGCCATGATTTCAGGTTTTCTGACTAAGCCCTGGATCAACTGGACACAGAATGTGTGCTTTTGGGGAGTGAGGGATCACAGCGATCCTCGTGGGGGCTACTTCCGGCTCAGTGCTCAGGGTTCCCTGCCAGTGGGCTGGGGAACCGTGCAGAACAGGGGCCCAACCCTGGGCTCCCGCAAACAAAGGCTGGGCCCTGCCCTGGGGGTTATCTCCCTACCCCTGGAATGAACTTTTTTTTTTTTTTAGAGGGAGGGCGTGGGGGACCACAGCTATTGGTGCTAAGGGTTTATTCCTGGCTCTTCATTCAAGGGTCATTCCCAGAGGGCATGGGGAACCACGGGCAAGGTAAGCGCCTGCCCCTGTCCTACGACTCCAAGCCCTCTCAGTGAACTTCTTAAAGCTGCCTTCATGACCTCCGCCCAAAATTGTGGGAGCAACACCCAGATGTTGACACAATTCCAGGGCTGTTCTAACAATGTGAGGGCAGGTTCCCAGGACAGGGGATGTGATAAGGCTTTTGCAATGTTTGTGAAGTCTGAGGTGAATGTGATCACTCTGATTCCTGAGGCCAGAAACATTCTACTCTTGCCTGGACAACCCTGGTGAATCCCCATCAGACTTGCCCTGTCTGAAATCAGGCAAACTTTGGCCCCCAAGACTCCAAAAATGCAAAGAAAAGATTGGTCCAAGCTGGGGTTCTGGGTCCACACATCATGTGTCCCCTCAGCCTGCTTGGCTAGGAGTTGGCTTGTGGAAGTAGAGTGAGTGCAGCCATGTAAGGGGACACGGAGACCCCACCCCATAGGTCTGGATCCTCAGGGGGTGCTTGGTGTACTGGGTTAGGGTGGCCGGGTTGGTCCTGCTTTGCTGAGCCATTCTGGGCCGTTCACAGCTCACCTGTCTGCACCCCGAGCAAGTCTGCTGTGAACTATCCGAGCTGGACTCTAGCACAGGAAGCTGGTGACGGCTCTCTGAGCTCTCCATGGTCGTTTAGCCTCAGGTCCCTGGGGCCAGCAGCTCATGGGCAGGTTCAAAATCAAGGGATGCGATAATGGCTTTGAAACTGTTTGAAGTATGTGTTGAATGGAATCACTTTCTTGGATTCCTGAGGCCGGAAAGATTCTACTCTGCCTAAATGAGATGAGGCCTGAGAACCCGAAGATGTCCAGGAAAGAGCCGCACATGCTGGGGTTCTGCGGGATCTAACCACGTCCCTTGGGGAGGGTTCCTGTCCAGCACATCCGCCTGGGGGCCTGGGTCCAGGAGACGTACCCAGCCCCCAGCTGACACTGCGCAGGGCCGCACATCCTGGGGCTGAAAGGGCTTGGCCCCTGCCTGAGACTCAGTGGCACAAAGCGTCTCCCGGCCCACCCGCTTGTCTGACTTGGCCACAGACCAGAGGTTCGGTGTGTGGCCTGGCCCACAGTGCTCAGGGAGCAGCTCCTTCACTGTCTGTGTACCCCCAGGGAGAAGCTGAGGCACTTCAGCCACGCCAGTTCACAAAGGAGCTGCTATCAATGGAGCGGGCAGGGGAGGGGCTCTGTGCAGCCGATGCATGCCAGCCTGAGGGTCTCGGAGCCCACCCTGAGGCAGAGCCGTCACGGTGGCTGACTCCGGGCCTGCGGTGGGTACTGCGGTTGGGTCTTGCCACTGTGCAGCACGTGGCCCCGCTGAGTCGCTGCGTGGACTGTGTGGGAAGGCGTGATGGCCAATGTCATGGCCCCCCTGCCCATGACATTCTGGTTCTTACTGCTTCTCAGAAATAAGTGCTGCTTAAAAAAAAAAAAAAGTGCTGCTTGGTTGAAAGACAGCCGACTCTTGGCCCAGGCAGTATCAATCAGTGATTTATAATATATACATATATATATATACATACACACATAAATTCATTTTGTTTTGACACAAAATGGCCTCCACTGTTGCTGGGGCAGGGGAGAGGAGAAATCTGAATTCTCACATGCAGCAGGACTGAGGGCTGGCGGGATGCTCCTGGGCTGAGGCACTCGGCACCGCAGACCCCACCATGTGCATGTCTGGGGTCAACCCCCGGCGCTGCTGACTCCCGAGCATGGCCAGGAGTGCCCCCTGTAAGCAGGTGGCCGTTCCACCCAAGTGTCACAGGAAGTACCCCCACAGCTGCCAAGCCCAGGGGAGACACGCTTCAGCGACAGGGCCACAGGGCGCACACGTGACTGTGGCCCCACAAAGGCATCTCGGTTCAGGGCAAGTGGAGGGGTGCATGCCAGCTGGAACCCTCGGAACCAGCCACTGAGGCAGAGCCTGTGCCTCGCATGTGCCGCTGTGAGCAACCCTGGCACCACACACATGCAAAAATTAGTCAAAATTCACAATGCCCAGTTAAAAAGTTTCACAGAGAAGAAAAAATTTTGTTGCTGTTGTGTCAGACCCATCAGTGCTCAAGGGTCACTCCTGGCTCTGCACTCAGGAGTCACTCCAGCAGTGCTCAGGGGATGCTGAGGGTCGAACCCAGGTTGGCCGCGTGCAAGGCAAGTGCCCTACCTGCTGTGCTATTGCTCTGTGCACCCAATTTTTTAAAAAGAGAGGGGGTTAGAGAGTACAGTGGGTGAGGTACTTGCCTCGCACACAGCTGACCTGGTTTTGATCCCCAGCACCCCACGTGGTCTCCTGAGCCCAACCAGGAGTGATTTCTGAGCACAGAGCCAGGAGTGAGCCCAGACCACTGCCAGTGTGAGCCAATAACAAAACAAAAACTCTTTCAGCATAACTGAGGCTCAGGTATAACAGCTGTTCTGGATTACATTTGGCGACCCTGTCTGCTTCCAGAATCTTCCCAAACTGGAGCAGTCCCTGAACTGCCCGGACCCACAGCCAGGCTGGAGAAACCGCACAGGACTGGCTGGAAGTGAGTCAGTATGATTAGGACGCCTGTTCAATAAAATTCTCATGAACATTTATTAAGCTATAATTTTCACAATATTTTAATTCTGTTCTGGAATCAATCTACAAAACAATGTAACACCAAAACCAGTGACTTCATAAAGAGGAATGATGTCTCACTTTGCCCCCCCCAAAAAACCCCAAAATAATAAGCCTTATACATTGATATCTATATATTTGAAGACTCGGTCTCCAAGGCTCAGAGGACTAACGTGGATACACACCACATTCACACACCACTAGGTTCAGATAAAGTGGCTGTATATTGTCAAATGCTATATAAATGTAGAACCAGATACACAGACTAGGAATCAGCTCATGAACAGGATTCCCAGTGAGGAAGGAACTGCAGCTTGGCTGATGGGATGTGGGCAGGTCACCATCACCACCACGAGAAATCACTTGAAGGACACAGTGCCAGAGACTCAGCACACATGCGGGCAATAAACCGACACCAGGACAAAACCTGGGCATCTACAAAAAGACACTGGGACGTGGGGGCCAGGATGCCACTAGCTGCCACAGCGTCAGGGGCCACGGACACTTCGCTCCTGGGTGTCCCTGGCCAGCCCTGGCGCCATCCACCAAGGCGGCATCATGAGCAACACACAGAAATCACGACACTGAACAGCTTGTCCGGGGGGCCGCCGGAGAGCCATGTGTTAAAGTACTGTGGACCCTGCGAAACACACGATCGCACACGTCTGACCCTGGAATTCACACGGGGAATGGGAGTGCCACTGAGGTGGCCATGAGCAGAGGTAGGGCCTGGTGGGACGGTGTCACGGGGTGGGACACCAGCTTCCTGACACGAGGCAGCCGGCTCGGGACCCATCGGGGAGAAGGGACTGGGCCCAGGGCCCAGGGCGCTCACCCTCGTGGGCGACTCAGGATCCCCCTGTGATGAGGAGCGTGGGTCCTGGGCCAGGACGAGGGCCTAGAGAATGTGGCTGACCAGCTGCCAGCCACTGGGATCTCCCAGCTACCGTCCCCACAGCTGCCAACAGGCGCTGCCCACCCCATTGCGCCACCATCGCCCTTGTCCAAAAGGTGGCGCTCTTGTCCCTCGGTTTGGAGACTCGCCGGGTCTCAGTCCTTGGGAACTGTAAAAAGCCCGCTCATGGGGTGGTGGGGCCCCCACCGCTCCAGGAAAGCGCTTGTTCCCGCGTCCAGGAAGGTTGCAGGGCTCAAGCCCCCAGGCCACCTCCCAGGCCAAACGTGGAGGCCTGAACAACGTGCCTGGCACGTGCGGGGCTTCCCGCCAGCCCCTCCTCTGGGTGAGTCACGGGGGGCCCCCCCTTGGCCCTGCAAGAAGCTCTCCTGTGCCACAGACAGCCACCAGTAGCGCCCACAGAAGCACCGGGGGAGGGAGGTGAGCAGCAAATCTGGGGAATGTGGGCCAGCCCGTGGACACACAGACACAGACACATACACACTCACACACATACACACAGACACAGACACACACTCACATATATACAGACACAGACACACACTCACTCACATACAAAGACACACACACATATACACAGACATAGACAATCACACAGACACACACAGACACTCTCACGCATGTACAGACACACACACATATACACACACAGACACAAACATTAATACACACTCACAAACGCACAGACACACAGACACACAGACATACACACTCACACACCTGTAGAGCAGACACTTCCTAAATGGGCACAGTGGACACCGGCGCTCCACATAGCCTTGGGCATCAGGTTCCCGTGGATGTCCAGGTCCTCGGATGGGCCTCTACGAAACGTGGTTCAAATCAATCCGACTGCAGCACGTGTGCGAGGGCACCTCTGACTCTCGACAAATGACGGTCTCCGGAGCAACAGAATTGATGGGGGCTTGGCTAGGGCCACACTCGCTCAGAGTGACAGGACTCGACAACCAAGTCAAGAGTGACCCAAAACAACACAGGGGGTGCTCTGCCCGGGGTCCCCCCGCATGCCTCCCCTGCAGTCCCGGGCAACGAGCCTTCCCAGGCCTCTGACCAGCAAGTCCTTCCCTCAGTGGATGGTCCCAGAGTCTGGTCTCGATCTGCCTTTATTAAAAAAACCCTTACAAAAGATGTAGTTAAATGCTTGGGGAAAAAACTAACTTTATGTTCTATGCACAGATAAACTTCTCTCCCTGTACAGCAAATACGGTCATATCCTTTGTTTAAAAAATATCTTTCTCTTCTGCTAATGACACTGCTGGGGGGTTTGACACAGACCCTCGGGCAGTCCTGAGCCCCAGGGCCGAAACACCCGCCCAGGCGGCCTCTGCTGCTCAGTACGTTTATTAAGGTTGTTTGGGGTTGGCGGTTCTCTTCTTGCGGCGCTTCTTCTGCTTCTTTGTGGGGGGCACGGGGGCGGGGGGTCCCGGCCGGGTGGCTGATTGTCACTTGCCGTTGGAGCGGTCGAGGGACTCGAGGACGAGGCTGAGGCGGACGTTGAGCTGCCGGACCTGGGCCTCCAGGCGCTCCAACTTCTCCTCCACGCTGTGCCCGCTGGGCCCGCCGCGCCAGTAGCTGCCCATGGGCCCGGTCATGAAGTACACTGCCACCACGAAGCAGATGGGCAGCACGGCGGCCTCGGGTTCACCCTCGTACTTATGCAGGACGTACACGCAGGACATGGAGAACAGGACAGCCCGTGCCACCCAGAAGAAGCGGCCGCACACGGCCTGCAGGAGGTTGAAGGTGACGCCCAGCGCCAGCGACAGGAACCAGTAGGCCAGGAGCACCATGCCCACCAGCAGGAGGGCGCGCACTGGGCTGCTGACCACCGAGCTGGGGTTGAAGTACTGCGACAGGTTGGACACTGTGGGCGGGAGACAGACGCAGTTCTGAGCCTCGGTGGGCGGGGGTGGCGCCCGCCACCCGAACCCACCGTCCGCTGCCCTCGTGCCAGGCGAGTCAGGAGTGCCCAGGGCACCCCCTGGAGACCGCCACCAGGGCAGAGGCTCAGACACGGCCTGGGTATTGTCCGTCCGTCCGTCCTTCCCGGGCTCTCTGGGGTACGGGCCCGCGACTCGCAGGGCCGTGCCCGTTACCTCTCCTTCTGTCTGCCAAGATGCGCTGCTGATGGCCCGCGTGGAAGCAGCCGCCGTGGGCCAGGGGGGAAAGAAAGAGACCTACGGGGAGCAACAACGGAGTGCCTGGGTCCCACGGCCTGCGGGCCCCACAGACACATGCCCTCATGCCGGCCGCGGCTGGGCGGGGCTTGGGCTCTTGGTCACTCATGGGCCAATCTAAGCGCCACTTCCAGGCCCGGGAGGCTCCGGCTTAAGGAAGGAGAGAAAATTCAACCAGCTTAATCAATGGCTGAATAAATAGCAGTGCTCCTACATTATAAGAAAAAAAAAAGAAAGAAGGGAAATGGGGAGCTCTACCCCTCTGCATCTCTCTCCCTCCTCCTCTGTCTCTCTCCCTCTCTTCCTCCCCTCCTCTTTCCTGCTCCTTCTCTCTCTCCCTCTCCCTCTGTCCCTCCCCCTCTCTCCCTCCCTCTGTCTGGGGCCAGGGGCGACCCCGATGGTGTTCAGAGTCCTGAACAGCCATTGCAGCCCCTCCCAGTCTCTGGACCTATTAAGCCCCCCAAGGCATGTCAGCCGTCCACTCAGTATTGGTACCAACCCCCCCCACCCAGCTGACCGGAGGTCGGGTCTTTGGGCCCCTACACTGACCCCACCTCTGGCAGCCACAGGTCTGGGCTTTCCCCTGGGGGTTCGGTCAGACCCCAGCGGCGAGTATGACCTGACTCACTGTGACCACGGCCTGGCCTCAGCTGCCGTGGTGGCCACTGGGCTTACACGCTGGCCAGCACATAGGCCCCATTCTCTGCTGATGAGCCGCAGGAGAGAGCTTCAAACCTGCCCGTGGCAGCCGCCAGCCAGCAGGAGGCCTGTGGGTGCTTCTGTTTCATTCTGTGGCCGGGGGTGGTTCTCAGGCAGGAGGCCTGGCTGAGGCCTCACTGGTCCCTGGTCCCTGCTGGTCCTGCCATGCTCCTGACAGGCCTGAGTGCTGCTTCACTGTGCGTTCAATTTGCATCTCTAGCATTTGAAAGTTCTTTTGTGTGTTGGGGGTGGGGTGGGCACGCCGGGAACCCACTCACAGCCACACACATAAGCCGGGCGCGCCCACAGCTGCCTGCGCGCACATTTCGCAAGGATCCGTGGCATGAGGCCTGCCCACGGGCCTGTGGGCCGTTTCTGTGTACTCTCTGTTGTTCTGGTCCACTTGCTGTGGCTGGTTTGGGGGCGCACCCGGTGGTGCTGAGCCGCTAGTCCTGGCTAGGTGCTCAGCAGGTGACCCGCAGCACTGTCAGATGTCAGAGTCCAGGTCACTGCCAAGACCCCGTAGAGGCTCACTGCCGACGTCTTCCCCCGGAGTGCCGGGCGCCCTGCTCATTCTCTCTGGGTGCCTGCACGTGAGTAGGCTGAGACCCGGGTCTGTGGGTCTCCTCATCCACCCCAGGGCCTCCTGCCCACTGAGCACTCTTAGCTTGATCCTGGGGACTCACGCAGCCTGTTCTGTGAGGGTCAGGCCCGGCTACGTGCTGCTTCTGCTGCCCGGGGGCTCCTTGGAGTTTGATCTTATTTATTTTGCTTTGGGGACCATGGCGGTGCTTGGGGTCTACGCCTCGCTCTGCACTCGGGGATCACCCCTGGCAGTTCTCACTGGGCTATATGGGGTGTCAGGGATCAAACTGGGATCAGGTGGGCCAAGACAAGTGCCCCCCACACCCCATACTATCTCTGTCCTGGAAACCTCTCTAGCACTTGCTTTGTCAGAGATGACAGGACCCACAAAATCCAATCCTGGGGTCTGGTGTGGGGAGTCACACGTGGGGTGCTCAGGGGTCAACCTGGGTCTGAAAATCTGGGTGCAGTCCTGGGGGGCACCGTTCGGGCCTCAGAGTGGTCAGGATTCCCAGAAGCAGAATGCCGCCACAGACGGACACCCCGCGTGTCACTCACATGTCCCAGGACGCAGACAGGGAGAGGGAAATGGGCAGACGGGGGCAGGGGACTCGGCCCCGCAGCTAGACCTGGGAGCTCAGCACGGATTCCCCCTCACTCAAGGGGAGCCGAGAATGAACACTCTCCTCATGACCCGGTGTGATGCTCCCAGGTGAGTGCCCTGTGGGTGTGTGCTCCTGGGTATGAGTGCTCCCGGTGAGTGCTCTGCGGGGATGAGTGCCCTGCAGGAGTGCCCTGTGGGTGTAAGTGCTCCTGGGTATGAGTGCTCCCTGGTTGTGAGTGCTCTGGGGTGTGAGTGCTCCCCTCCAGTCATCAGCAGGAAACACTCTGCGGCAGGAACGGGAGAGAGGCCTGGGCTGGAGACACCCTCTCCCTGGGAGACTCCCGCAAAGCTGCCACTTGACCTACCCTGGCCATGGGTCCGGGGCTGCCCTGAGCTTCCACAGGGAACAGGGGGGGACCGCGGGGTTGGAAGTGGGTTCCCAGCTGGAATCGTGTCTGCTTCTCCCCATGAGGCAGCGTCTGCAGGGCCCTACGGCTGCCCCCCGGCGGCTGCCACACAGTTATATGGCTGCCCCCCCCAACCCCGGCTGTGCCTGGGTGTGGGTTACTGTCTCTCGGAGCCAAGAGGCGTTTCTGGGGTCTGGGGCACCTCCGGCCTCCCAGAGTCCCTGATTGGGCTCCCCCCCAAACTGCCGCGAGGGCCGGGACTGCAGCCGTGACGATTCCCACGTCCAAGGGCGACCCTTGCCAGGGCCATGGTGCCCACCTCAGCCTCTCCCTGGGCAAGTCTCTGCATCTCTGTGCATGTTTTCCCACGGCAGGAGGGCATGGGCAGTGGACACGGGAGCCCCCTGATACAGCCTGGCTGCACCCGACTCTGCTCCACTCGCAAAGACCCCATCGAGTCAAACAAGGCTGAGCTCGGGGGGGGCACATCTTTCAGGGATGAGGGAGACACGGTCCCCCCGGTCAGCAGGGCTGGGCGCTGAGGGCTCAGAGGGAAGACGAGCCAAGTACGCGTGATGAGGAGAGCGAGAGAACAGAAGCCAAGGACTCCTCACAGGGGGCAGCCAGGGGGTCTCTTGGAGGAGGCGTCCTGTGTCAGAGACCCGGGGATGGGCTGGGGCAGGGGTGCGGGGAGGTCTTGAGCGGGCACTGTCTGCTGTTCCTGGGTCCTTGAACAGGCTTCTGGCCTCTCCTCGGGTGTGGGGGGACCTACAATGGGGGCCAGAGGGTCCCCAGATGGGCAGGGGCTGGTCCGCGGGTCCTGAGCCACGGGCCCTAAAGTCGGAGGCTGGTCTGCGCATGGCTCGGGGGGCGCTCAGGGATGCCGCTGATGGCCAGTGCAGTGGCGTCTAGGGGAGCCGCCTCGTGGGAGGGGTCCCCATGTCCAGACTGCATGCACCGGGCAGGTCACCCGTTGCGGGCCTCACCCCGTGGCACCCCAGCCTGGCCAGGAGCAGGTCGGCTCTGGGTCCCCACTGCGACCATCACACACTTCCGTGTGGGAGCACTAGGGTCACCGCAGGGGGTGACAGGTGGAGTCCCGGAATGGGGACCGAGTGGCTGAGGCCCCAGCTTCCGGCACCTACCGTCCAGACCCAGCACATCCAGCAGTTCTGTCCACACCTTCCACACGCTCTCCACAAACATGTCCACGCCCAGCACGAACCGCTCGGTCAGCCTGGTCAGGAACTGCAGGGGCAAGGAGGGTGGACAGTCAGCACCCAGGGCGGCCGCGGGGCCCACTGCCCGCAGCGCCACATGGAGGGTGTCTCCGCCCCTCCCCCAGCGCCCACCGCGCCCAGAGCTCAGGGACCCCCGAGGCCTCCCCCACCCGGTGAGGGACCCATGCGAGCCTCGAGGGATGGAGTCGCAACCTCATCCCTCACGGGGGACCCCAGAGCCACCAGGCTCATGCCACGGGAAGGGAGGTCCCACTGTGGCCCTGGAACAGCATGTGACATATGTGTCACAGCGTGTGACAGCATGTGAGGCCGGCCATGGCCAACAGGCGTTCCGTCCCCAGCATCACACAGGATCCCCCAGGCCCTGCCTGGAGCGATCCCTGAGCACAGAGACAGAAGTAAGCCCTGCCCGAGCACTGTGAGAGTGAGTCCCCACTCCTGCCCCTCTCAAAACAACCAGTAGGTACAAGGATGGAAAAACCAAAGTGGCAGACAGTTCTCACTCCCGCGGGCCAGAGAGTACAGCGGGGAGGACGCCTGCCTTGCACACGGCCGAGCCGGGGGATCCCTAAGCACAGAGCCAGGAGGAAGCCCTGAGCACCGCCGGCCATGCCCGAACCAAACAAACTCCCCTTCCCAGGCCCCGAGGCCTCGGCGTCTCACTGGCTCATGCAGCGCCTCTGACGTGTATGAGGTGCACATGCTGTTACCCATGTTCACACACACAAACACACACGCACAACACACATGCACGTGAGCGCGTGCGCACATACACACACACCACAACACACATGCACGTGAGCACGCACACACACACGGCGAGTGGTGCACTGCCAAGCACACCTCCAGCCCCAGACTTTCCATTTTCCTCAGGGATCACTGCCGTGAGGCTCAGAAACCCCGGGAGCTGGGGTGGGACCCGGGTCGCCGTGCAGGCCCTCCCACAGCCTTGCCACCCCAGCCCCACTGCCCCTCAGCTTTCTCCAGAATAGGGAGGGGGGCTATGTCCTGGCCATGGTGACGGCCCGCAGACGAACACACGTCAGCACACTGCATGCCCGCCTGGCCTGCCCACATATGCCAATCACGCCTCGAGCAACTGCGAGAACGTTGGTGGGAAAAAGGGCTGGGAAGTGTCATTTATTTGACTCAAAATATTTTCTTACACAAAGCAAACTATGGAAGCCTCCTTAAGAGAGAACGAGAGGGATAGAGACAAAGAGACAGTCAAAGAGAGAGAGAGAGAGAGAGAGAGAGAGAGACGAAGAGAGAGAGAAACAGCTCAGGGCCGCGGCCAACAGTCCAGCGGGGAGGGCATGTGCCTTGCACCCTGCCAGTTAGATCCCCAGCATCCCCTAGCCCCAGCCCTCAGCACCACCAGGAGTGATTCCTGAGTGCGGAGCCAGGAGTAACCCCTGAGCATCGCCAAGTGTGACCCCAAAAGGCCAAACATTCCCGGTGGTGGAGTGGAGAAGGTGAAGGCCCAGGCAGGTGGGGCGATCTGGCTTGAGCAACCAGACCACGCTGCAGAGACGCAGGAGGCCCCGCTGGCCTTGCACACAGAGGACCCAGATCCCATCCCCGGTACCACACGCCGTCCCCTGAGCACCCGGAAGTGACCCCTGAACACAGTCCAGTGTGGTCCAGCTGCCCGCACCCCCACAGGGAAGAAAAAGCAAACATGAGCTCCCCCCGCAGCTTGTCAGCCCACTGCAGGCGCATGGTCCGGAAAAGCCCCCACGTTTCAATTAAGATCCCTAGCAGGGGCGAGGAGAGACAGCGCAGTGGTGGGGGTGGGGGCTAAGGCATGTCCCTGGCATGTGCCTGGCATCATATACGGCCCCCGGAAGCACAGAGCCAGGAGTGAGTCCTGAGCACACCAGGTGTGACCCGAGAACAAAATAAAACCTAAAAACAACTGAAATTAAGCCGAGAGCAAGCTGCACCCCCTTCCCTGCCTGCTCCTGGTCTCGGTCCGTTCTGGAGCCTGTCTCTGGGCCTGAGGGGGTCGCTCCTCCTGCTCTCCAGCCCCTCCCCCTCTCCCCGTCCTCCCCCAGCTAACACAGCTGCCAGTCCTCCCTGTCCCTCCTTGGCTGTGTCCCCTCCACTGGGTGACCCGGTTCCAGCCCCCCGTGGCGCAGCCCCTCCCTGTTCTGCAGAGGCTCCGAGGGTGGGGGCATCGCGCCCCCCCATCGCCCAGGCCTGTAGGCCCTCCTGTGCCTCCCCCCACCCCCCCACCCCCGCCCGTGGCTGAGCACAACAGAACTTCCCCGGGCAGTGCAGTGTGCTCAGCGTCAGCGACACCCTCCACCGTTACTATGGAGACGGGAACAGCGGGGAGGGCAGGCGCGCTGCCGCTGACCCGGGCTGATCCGGAGCCCTGCCAGGCAAGCAGCCCGCGCGCGGCCCTCTGCTCCGTGACCTTCACGGAGAGCTGGACACGACCCGCGGCCCAGCCTCCGCATGCTGCCCGATCTGTGCGTCAGAGCCCGCCACTCCATGGCGGTGACGTCCACCCGCGGGCCCACTGCGGAGCTGATTACGCGCCTCTCAGTCGAGCAGCCGGACAGGCGGCGATGGCTTCGTCCTGCAGCATGGGCCGCACCCGGCAGTGCTCAGAGCTACCCTGGGCTGTTTGGAGTCACCCCTGCGGGCAGCTGGGGACCTTGTGGTGTCAGGGATCGAACCTGGCTCCCACGTGCCAAGCCCAGCCCAGCCCATGGGTCCTCTTGCACGAGTCACTCAGGGCGCCAGGGATGGACCCAGGGCCTCGCACAAGCAGGACAAACGTCCTGGTGATGCTCCTTCCCCCAAGGTTCCCACGCCACCTCCAGAGGTGAAACGCTCCCCTCGGACTGAGGTTTCCCACGGCCCGCAATGCACTGGGGCATCTCTGATAGAGAGGTCAAGTGAGCGGCCCAAGGTCACGGAGCCAGAGACCGGCTGTTAGCCGAGAGGCATGTCCAGCTCCAGACCAGGCTGCGGGGTTATTTCAGACAAGTCCTGGGTCAGAAAAAGGGCATTTATGGACCAAACATGATTGCCACTCGATGCCTCTTTTGCAAACCACAGCACCCAACAGGAGAGAGAAAACAAAAGGGAATGCCCTGCCACGGGGGTGGGGTGGGATGGGGGTGGGTGGGAGGACTACTGGGAGCACTGGAGGTGGAGAATGGGCACTGGTGGAGGGATGGGTACTCAATCATTGTATAACTGAAACCCAAGCACAAAAAATTGTAAGTCTATAACTGTACCTCATGGTGTTTCACTAATAAAAAAAAAAAAAAGAAAGAAAGAAATGAACAGGAAAAAAAAAAACGGGCGTTCCGTTCAACCTCAGACTCCAAGAGCCGCCTCTCCACAGGGCCAGCCCCCCTAAAACCAGGACGGACAACACAAGGCGCGGGTGCTGGGCAGCTGTGGGGACCGAGGGGCCGGGGCACGGCTCATCAGGGCACTGCAGGGCTCAGCCTCTGCCTCACTCTGCCTCACTCTGCCTCAGTTTCCTCAACTGCAAAATAAAGAGCCAGAGCTGACCTCACAGGGCTGTGCTCAGGACCCAACAGCCACTCGACCTTAGATACAACCCTCCTTTCCGCTGATGGCACAAATCAGCTTCGCCCTGGACACAGGGTGGCCCAAGAGAGTCTCAGGGGCCGGGGCCAGAGTGACAACACAGCAGGGAGGGCGTTTGCCTTGCACGCGGCGGACCCGGGTTCGATCCCCGGCATCCCACAGGGTGCCCTGAGCACCCCACAGGAGTAATTCCTGCACACAGAGCCAGGAGTATCATCGCAGTGACCCAAAAAGACAAAAAAGAAAAAATTTTTTAAAGTCTCAGGGGCTGCCCTTGGTCTGCGCTCGGGAGTGGCCCCCGGCAGTGCTCAGGGAACCCACCTTGGGGTCGGCCACCCGCAAGGCAAGTGCCTTAAGCACGTGCTGTCTTGCGCTCAGATCTGGGGTCAGAACTCTGCCCTCTGCACCCAAGCCGGAAGTGCAGCCCTAAAATATCTGAGACGCTCTGCTCCTCAGACTCACACAAGCCTCTGCGGAGATGGGGACTGTCTGTGTTGGCCCCACCACAAAAATCCTACGTATTCTGAAATTGTGCCGGGGGCCAGAAAGATAGCACAGTGGGTAGGGCACTTGCCCCACCTGGATTCAATCCCCAGCACCCCATCCATTCCCATGAGCAATGCCAGGACTGATACCTGAGTGCAGAGCCAGGAGTAAGCCCTGAGCACCCCCGGTGCAGCCAACACCACCCCTGCACCCCACAAAACAAACAAAAACAAACACCAAGAACAGGAGACTGCCCTACAGTCAACACTGCAGGTTTTCCTATTCCTTCTCTCCCCCGGCCTCAGGCCTGGGGGGACCTTTCCTTCCCCTGAAGGCCCCTGGGGTGGGGTCAGCCGGCCAGCACTACACAGACAGGAGCTCACAATGACCCCCCAGGCTGCTGAGCCAGGGAGTGACCAGCCACCCCAGCCGACCTCACTTGGAGCGCATTTTCCGCAGGACTGGGCCGGAAACGCAGGCTCAGGGTCCAGAGACCGTGCAGGTAACAGGGGGCACCAGCCTTGTGGGATCCCTAATACCACAGCACCTCCCCCGGGTCAGCCAGGGAATGGGCCTGCCCACCCCAGCCCGCACAGCCAGGGGTGTCCCCAAAGCAAGAGAGACACTGGCCCCGGCTCCCTGCACCTCCTTGGCGGGCCGGGTTGGAACTTGACCCCAACAGTTCAAGTACCCGGCAGGGCTGGGTGGGCAGGGCAGGGCAGGAGGCGGAGAGCAGGGGCTGCCCCCTCCCCACCCGGCCGAGACCGCTGCCCACTTCCTTTCCCGTTCCTGGGGCCACGCGCGCGCGCGCGCGGGTTCCGGCCTGTTTCCGGGGGTCCCCGGGGCGGCGGGCGGGGGTCCCGGGACGGGGGTCCCGGGCGGGCGTCCGGGGCAGGCGGGGGTCCCGGGCAGGGTCCGGGGCAGGGTCTGGGGGTCCCGGCCCACCTTCTGCGCGGCGCGCACGTTGTCCTCCCCGAACAGGCCGCCCAGGCTCTGCGCGAAGGTGCTGGCCGCCCGCCGTCCGCCCGTCTTCTCGGCGCCGCCGCGGCCCCGCGCCCCCCGCGCGCCCCCCGCCAGCAGCGCCAGCGCCAGCAGCAGCGGCAGCAGCCGGGCCCGGGCCCGGGGTCCGCCGGCGCCCATGGTCAGCGCCGCTCCGGCTCCTCGCGGCCTCCGCGCTGCCCGCGCTGCCCGCGCTGCCCGCGCTGCCCGCCGCGCTCGGCCCCGCCCCGCGCGCGCAACAGCCCCGCCCCGCGCGCGCGCAAGCCCGCCCGGGCCGGGGACCGAGCAGCGGCGCGGCCGGCCCGAGGGTCAGCGCGGGCAGCCCCGAGGAGAGCACGCCCGGGCCCCGAGGGTCAGCGCGCCCCGCCTCGTGCCGTGGGGAAGTCGAGTCGGGCCCCCGTGGGTCAGCGCGGCCGGCCCGAGCCCTGGGTCAGTGCGTCCCAGCCCCGTGGGGAGCGCAGCCGGGTCCCCATGGGTCAACACGGCCAGCCCCGAGCTCGGGTCAGCGCGGCCGGCCCGAGCCGGGGGTCAGTGGGTCCCCGCCCCGTGGTCCGCGCGCCCGGCCCGGCCCCTCCCGAGAGGGGGCTGCCTGGAGCATTCTTCCAGAGGGGTCCTCATCAGGTGGTGGTCAGGCCACTTGGAGCAGGGCGTGGACCCGGAGGGTCAGCAGAGGCCAGTGGCCCAAGAGGGGGTCCAAGGCTGATGGAGCTTGAAAACCTAGAGGCCTTCTTGGCTGGATCCCAAACCGCCCGTTTCAGCAGGAAATGCGCAACTGATCCGGCCCGATCCGGGGACCCCTGACCTCTTCATGGAACCAACGAGCAGGAAACGAGGAGGGGGCGGAATCAGAGAGACGACGGGTGGGGGCTCTGGCCCCCAAGCCTCTGCATCTCCCCTGTAAGCAAGTGGCCTGAAATGGAAGGGGGAGCGCTCCAAATCCACAGAATTGCTCCAAATCCACAGAATTAACCAAGAAAACAGAGCCTGGGACAGGAGGGCCAGAGCTGGGCGGGACACTGGCCATGGGAGCAGGACCCATGTCCCCCCCCTGAGTTTCACATGGGATCACACATATGCCCCACAATCTATGTACCCCACCTACATTGTGTTTGGGCCTTTTTCTTCTTACATTGAAGAATGCTGTTTGCTGCTTCTGGAGAGAGCCTTTTGGTAGGTAATGCTTCAGAAGAAGCACAGGAGCGGGTTTAGTCATTTTTAAGCGGGCATACTGTTCATGGACTCAAACAAGCGCACTGCAGAGTCAGTTGGAGGCCTGCCGTGGGGCCACAGCACCACGTGGTCCTCTGAGCTTTGCCTGGGGTTGACCCTGGGCACTGCTGGTGTGACCCCATCGTCCCCAAATAAGCACCAAGAGAAGAAATCCGAGATCACCCATTTTACACAATATAACTCATGAAGATACACATTTGATCTGCCAAGTACATTTTCTCCCCAAATCCACTGCAATCATTGTGTAGCTTTGAAACTGTATTGAGATGTACAGGACCTAAGTCTCACGTTCTGCGTGCGTTTGTTGGAAGAGATTTTGGTTTGGTGCACACCTTTTTCATTCAACAACTAGTTACCAACGTTGCAGTCAGGTTTTATTCTAGGTTCCTTTCTAAAAATTCTTAAATCCTGGGCCTGAGGGTATCGATAGTGCAGCGGGTAGGACACTTGCCTTGCACACAGCTGACCTCAATCCCTGGCACCCCGAGCTCAGAGCCAGCACTAAGTCCTGAGCACCGCCGCTGGGGCTGGCCCCCAAATAAACAAAACGCAAAACTAAATCCTAGTGCCTTCACCGTATTTTTATGCTGGAATTCCAACGGTTGCCCTGAAGGAGTTGACAGGGAGGATGCTCCCTAACCCAGGGAATCGCAGGCCTGCGAAAACGCACGAAAACGCACGCTCTGCAGGCGGCGCAGCGCCCAGGACCTCGCGGTTCCCGTAGTGGAAACACGTGCCCACGCGTGTTTCCGGTGGGGACCTCGGAAAACCGAGTGCGGGGGGGTCCCACGTTGGGAGCGGGGAGGCGGGGCTGCGCTGAGAGCGCCTGCCGAGCCCCGCCCCTCGCTTGCAGGCCCCGCCCCTTATTGGCCCCGCCCCACCGGAAGACGGTGCGTCCCCGCTCTCGCGAGAGCACATCCCGGAAGTCCTCCGGCCCCGAGCCGGTGGTCCAAGGAAGGAGCCCACGTGGGTCGGGTTTCGGGGTCTGCGCGGGCAGTGGGCGCCATGGGCAAGCTGCGCCGGCGCTACAACGTCAGGGGGCGTCAGCAGGCGGCCCCCGGGCCCGCCCAGGGTCCCCCGGAGCCGCCCGCTGTGCGGCTGGAGCTGCAGGGTAAGGCGCCCCCGCGGGCCGGGCTCGGGAGGGGCCCGCGTCCAGCCCCGGGCAGGGCAGGCAGGTCAGCTCCGGGCGCGCCCCTGGACACTCAGGGCAGCGCGACTTAGGGCTGCCCCTCGCAGTTGCCTCGCTGTCAGATGGCCACGCTACGAAGTGGGCGGGACCCTCTCTGGAGTCCACGCCAGGGCTGCCCGGGCACTCCCCTGGACACCGGTTCAGAGAAACTCAGATCTCACACGACCCCGTATGAAGTTGGTAGGCAGATCAAACATTCACTCTAACGAGAAGTGTTGAAAATGACCGCCACATTCAATTGCTACGCCCCCCCCCCCATATGTGGTACTGACCCACCTTTTGAGAAGCTTGGCTGGGATCAGTAGGTTTTGGAGCCATTGGGGCACAAGTGCCAGAGCGCCAGACACGGGCTCAAGTCCCGGTAGATTCCACATGCTCCCAGAGGGCTTGCCCTGGAAGCCCTGAGCACTGCTGGGGTGATGTGGGGAACCCTGGTGCTTTTTTACCGGGGCAGCACCGAGCTGACCTGTTCATCTGAGAATCGGGGTCCCCGGGAGGTCCGTGCCCCCACAAGGAAAGCTGGGGCTCGAGATGGAGACAGTGCAGGGCTGTGATGTTTGTCTACCCAAGCCCCTGTCCCAGTACCACTGGGAGGGACCCCAGCACCCCCTCAAAAGCAAATAGCAAGGGGGCCAGAGTGATAGTGTAGCAAGCTGGGCATTTGCCTTGCACGCTGCTGACCTGGGTTCAAGCCCTGGCATCCCATATGGTTCCCTGAGCACCGCCAGGAGTAACCCCTGAGCATCACACTTGTGTGACCCAAAAAGCAAACAAAAATAAAATGGCGAGGGAGGACTTAGTCCCCTGTAAAGTAGGTGAAGGTGGCCCGTGGCCTTGGAGCCCCCTGTGGGACAGGACTAGCCGTGGGGACAGCAGTGACCTCCTCCTTTCCAGTTCCCCCTTCTCTGTCCCAAACCTGGTGTCCCTAGCACCAGGGGATGACCAAGTGCAGGATGTGGGCAGTGCTCTTCTCAGGGGACCTTAGGAGAAGCTGAGGGGCCTCCCCAGGCTGGGGTCAGCAGGTGTACCTTTCCAGACAAGGACACACTGAAAGGCGTGGACACGAGCAATGCACTGGTCCTGCCCGGCACGCGCAGGAAGAAGGCCCGAGCCCCGCCCCTGTCCAAGAAGGAGAAGAAGCCCCTGACCAAGAGAGAGCGGAAAATGCTTCAGAGAGTCTTAGAGCAGAAGGAGAAGAAGAACAAAGTATGCCCGCCCCCCAGGTGCCGCTCTGGGGCCACCTGTCCCCTCCCGCCCTGGACCCATGTGTCCTCTCCCCGCCCCCAGGGGCCACCTGTCCCCACCCTGCCCTGGGGTGATGCCATGGACCCATGTGTCCCCGCCCCCAGGTGCCACTGTGGGGCCACCTGTCCCCTCCCCGCCCCCATGTACCACCATAGGGCCACCTGTCCCTCCCTGCCCCAGAGTGCCGCCGTGTAGGTGGGCATGGCGCCACCTGTCCCCTCTGCCTTCCCCAGCGAGCCGAACTGCTGCAGCAGCTGAGCGAAGTTCAGGCCCCGGTCTCGGAGCTGAAGCTCTTGTACACCACGTCCCAGCTGGGCACAGGGCAGCGCATGTACCACACCAAGGAGTGAGTCCGGGAAATTCGGGCCAGCCCTGGGCAGACCCTCGGGAATGGCCGGAAGAGGGGTACCCTCGGGCAGCTGTGGTGACTGGTGGCCGTTGGGCGCGGATGCAGACGTGTCTGGGTGAGGACACACCCGGCTGAGCTCAGGGCTACTCCTGGCTCTGCTTCGGGATCGCACCTCAGGGACTCTGGGAGCCGCATAGTGCTGGGGATCGAACTGGAATCATCCCTTCATTGCTCCGACTCCAATCGTTTTTGTGTTGTTTCGTGTTGGGGCCACACCCAGTGATGCACAGGGGTTCCTCCTGGCTCTGCATCAGGAATTACTCCTGGATACAGGGACCATGGGGGATTGAACCCGGATCGGCTGCGTGCGAGGCAAGCACTCTACCCACTTCTATCACTCCAGCCCCAAACACTTACTTTTTAAAGTCAGCAGACGTTTATTCTCGTGGGTTCTGAAGGTCAAAAGGCCCCAGCCCGGGTCCGAGAGATAGTACAGTGGACGTGTGCTTTCCTCGTGTGCAGCTGACACCGTTTATCTCCAGCACCTCACCTGCTCACTGGAGCACCCCCAGGAGTGATGCCCTGAGCACAGCTGGGGGGACCCGCTTGCGGGGGACAGGCAGGCCCCAGCCTCCTCTGCAGCTGCCGCTCATCCTCTGCAGGAAGCTGGACGAGGCCCTGGCCCCAGGTCAGAAGGTCAGCAGCCTCAGCGGGGCGCACCGGAAGCGCCCCCTTTCTGAGTCGGAGGAGGAGAGCTCAGACCAGTTAGAGGTGGACGAGGCCCCTGCCGGCCAGCAGAGTGAGGTGGCCACAGGTCCGGAGGCAACGTGCCTGCCCCACAGGGCCAGCGCCGAGAGCCCCCCGCCCAGCACTCCCCCTGCTCCGCCTGGGACCCCTGCGGCCCCCCCGGAGGCAGCCACCAGGCAGACCCGGCCCCCCTCGAAGCCGGCCGTCTTCATCCCTGTGAACCGCACCCCAGAAATGCAGGTGCGCCTTCGGGGTCATGGTGGGGTGCGGGCGAGGCGTGTCCCCGGGGGAGGGTTCAGGTGGCCCCCCTCCTGGCTACTGGAATGTCCTTCCGGCCCAGTCTCGGGGGATGCCCACGGCACCTCGTGTCTGACAATGTGGACGGGATGAGACTGGGACATACTAGGACGTATTTCCTAGTACCTTCCATACTAGGAGGTACCCAAGGGGCCCCCAGTTCCACACCCCCCCCCGGGCCACCTCTCTGTTGCCTGCTGGGCAGGGGCACCCCAATTCCTGAGCCCCCCGCCCCCTACCCCAGGAGGAGCGGCTGCGGCTCCCGATCCTCTCGGAGGAGCAGACCATCATGGAGGCGGTGGCCGAGCACCCAGTGGTCATCGTGTGTGGCGAGACAGGCAGTGGCAAGACCACGCAGGTGCCTCAGTTCCTGTATGAGGCCGGTTACAGCAGGTGAGCCTGGTCGTGCCTGCGTCCCCTCCCCAGGGGCCTGAGGATGGTGCAGGGGATGCTCAGGACCTCCGATCCCCACGGTGTTGGGTCCCATGCCTGCAGAGCTGGGTGGAAGGACTCAGGCAGGAACACCCCTGCCTGCTCCCCCAAGCCGGGTCGCCCCCCGGGTGGGGTCAGGGACTGGTGGCTCCTGAGTGTGGGAACTGCTCCCTGTGTGGAACCCGGGCCCACCGACGGTATCTTCCCTCCCAGTGATGGCAGCGTCATCGGCATCACAGAGCCCCGCCGAGTGGCCGCCGTGGCCATGTCCCAGCGCGTGGCCAGGGAGATGAACCTGTCATCACGGTGAGGATGCTGCTCCTGAAAGGTCCCACCCCCACAAGTCCCCCAGGCCGCTGGGGGTTCAGCCCTCCTGGGACAGCGACCTGGGGCTGAGGAGGGCATCGTCCCTCTCATCCCGCCCCAGGTGCTCCGCCCTGGGCTGGGCAGCCGTGGGTCCTGTGTGTGGCCAGGCATGTGGCTTCCAGGGGCAGGCACATGACTCGGCCCGGAAGTGCCCTGGGCAGAGGGGCGTCGGGGTGGTGTGGAGGCCAGCTCCTGCCCATGTGTCCCAGCACTGCCCTGACCCTGCCCGCCCCACAGAGTGGTCTCCTACCAGATCCGCTATGAGGGCAACGTCACGGATGACACGAGGATCAAGTTCATGACGGACGGTGTGCTGCTCAAGGAGATCCAGAAGGTGGGCGCCTCCCAGCCACCACCTCCCTCCCCTGCGGCCCATTCCCCACTGCCGGGGCCACAGCGCTGGCTGCAGGGTCACGGCATGACCCGCCAAGGCCCGGTTTTCCCTGTCGGGGCACAGCCCCCAGAGACCCCAGCCTTCCCTGCCCCTGCAGGTGGGTTTGGACATGGCTGGGGTCAAGCCCCTCGGAGTGTGCAGGCTGGCCGCCTCTGCCCTGCCCTCACCCACCAGCTCACGCGGGCAGCACCTGCCCTCTGCCTGCCCTGTTCTGGACCCAGCAGCCCCCTGGCCGTGGGAGCCCCCGTGGGGGAACTGGGGGCACCACGTGGGATGACCAGGGGCCGTGGTTCACAGTCGGGGCCCCCTTCAGGACTTCCTGCTGCGGAGGTACAAGGTGGTGGTCATCGACGAGGCCCACGAGAGGAGCGTGTACACGGACATCATCATCGGCCTCCTGTCCCGCATCGTGACCCTGCGGGCCAAGGTGGGCGCCTGGCCCTGTCCCCCGCCTGGGAACCTGCCTGGCATCCCCACCAGCCCCAGGCTCGGACCCCAGCCTCTCCTGAGCCCGGGGCAGGAGGACAGCTCCCATTGACACGGTCGTGGTCACTGCGTCCTGTCCGCAGAGGGACATGCCGCTCAAGCTGGTGATCATGTCGGCGACGCTGCGCGTGGAGGACTTCACACAGAACCCACGGCTCTTCGCCCAGCCGCCCCCTGTCATCAAGGTGAGGCCTGGGGGGGGGCAAGGGGGTGTCTCCCTGGTCCGACCCCTCTTGGGCTCTCACACGATGCACCCAAGCACACAGGTCTGTGCATGCACGTGCACACATGCACCCATGTCCTTATGCACACTCACACGTCCTTGCACACACGCACACTCTCACATCCGTGCACACGTGCACACTTGCACCCCTCACTCCCCTCCCGCCGCAGGTGGCGTCGCGGCAGTTCCCGGTGACCGTGCACTTTAACAAGCGGACGCCCCTGGAGGACTACTGCGGCGAGACCTTCCGCAAGGTCTGCAAGATCCACCGGATGCTGCCGGCCGGTGAGCGCCCAGCGTGGCCCGGCCTCCGCGGCTCACCCACTGTCTCCCCGGGCTCCGCCACGCCAGCGCCAGCCTGTTTCTTGGTGTAACTGCCCCTGGGGTCGTGGTGTCCTCTCCAATACCGGACAGCCGCTGCCTGTCGGCTCACACCAACTCTCCCCGGCGCCCTGCCCCACCATCTGCCTCCGGCCCTTGCTCGGCGCTCCCTGTGGCCCCCTCCCATGTGGCCACTGTCATGGTTTGGGGGCTTCTCCCTGCTCTGGGGTCAACGGGTAGGGCGATCGCTGCCATCCATCCCGTGGCCGCTGCAGTGGACACTGAGGGCTGTCTCCGCAGGCGGCATCCTGGTGTTCCTGACTGGGCAGGCGGAGGTGCACGCCTTGTGCCGCAGGCTCCGGAAGGCCTTTCCCCACACCCGCTGCCACCCCCCAGGTAACTCCGCGGGCCTGTCCCTTCCCCCGGTGTCCTGTGTGTTGCATGGTTTTTGCCCTGGCCGTGCCCTCAACTGCTCCTCTACTCCCAGAGGACGCCGAGAAAGAATCCGCAGAGGAGATGCGCAAGTTCAAGAAGTCGCGGGCGCGAGCCAGGAAGACCCAGGCCGCGGTAGGTGGCGCGGGAGCTGGACAGGCACCTGGTGGCAGGCACCTGGCCTGTCCGTCTGGGGACTGGTGGACGCCCAGCGGCATTCACGGCTGGCTTCTGGCGGGGCTCGGGACTGTGGGGTGCCGGGGGTCAGACCCAGTCAGCCGCGTACAAGGCCAGCGCCTGCCCGTGTCATCTCTCCGGCCCTCGGCTATCACAGCAGGTGGCATCCAGTGCCGGGCTGCGGGGAGGGCAGGTGGCTGGGACTTGTTTTCCGCTGTTCACTCCCCGAGGACCGGCCTGTGATGGGAACACTGGTCTGGAATATTCCCTGGGCATGTGTGTGTGTGGGGGGGGACCGCTGTGACGCCAGTACTCTCCTGGGCTGCACAGCGCTCTCTGGAGGGGAGAGTGCATGGCCCCTGTGTTCAGCATCAGGAAGCTTCTGGAAACTTCTCAGCAGATTCCCCAAGCGTGCGGGCTGCAGGCGGGAGAACCCTGGGTTCTGAGGCACCGGGAGGGCTGCGGGGAGGGCATCCGTGTCCTGACGCTGTTTGCCACAGACGCTGCCCAAGATCAGCCTGGACAGCTACTCGGTGCTGCCTGCGGGCGAGGGCGACGAGGACAGGGAGGCGGAGATGGACGAGGAGGAGGATGCCCTCGGCTCCGACCTGGACCTGGACTTAGGGGACGGCGGGGCAGATGGAGGCGAGTCACAGCTGGACAGGCTGGCGGGTTTGTGCTGTGCATGGTTGCCGGGTTGCCTCTGCCCTGAGGCTCAGTCACCGTCACAGCGTCACGGGGCGCAGCCTCAAGAGTGTGTGTGGACAGGCCGGTGGGCCGGAGGTGGCTATGTCGCACGTACCTGGTAGGGTGTGTGTCAGTGTGTCTGTGTAAGGTGGCCATGTCTCAGGCATGCCTGACAGGATGTGTTAACGTGTGTGTCTGTGTGTGAGTCCATGTGTGTGTGAGGGCCGTGTCAGACACGCGCCTGACGGGGTGTGTGAGTATGTGTGTGTCTCTGTGTGTCTGTGTATCTGTGTGAGTGTGTCAGCGTGTGAGTCAGTGTGTGTGTAAGGTGGCTGTGTTACACGTGCGCCTGGCAGGGTGTGTGAGTGACTGTGTCTCTGGGTGTGTGTCTCTGTGAGGAGGCCGTGTTTCAGGCATGCCTGACAGGTTGTGTGAGTGTCAGTATGTCTGTGTGTGTGTCTGTGTGTGTGACATGGCCGTGTTGCTGGCGCACCTGGAGGGTATGTCTGTGTGCTTGAGGAGGCCATGTCTCTGGCGTGCCTGACAGGTTGTGTGAGTGTCAGTGTGTGTGAGTCTGTGTGTGCAAGGTGGCCCATGTCTCAGGCGCGCCTGCCAAGGTGTGCGAGTGTCTGTGTGAGATGGGCCACGTCGCCGGTGCTCCTCAGGGCCGTGTCTCTCCTGGTGGCCAGGTGCCAGCAGACCGTCTCCTTGCAGGCGAGCAGCCCGACGCCTCACTCCCACTCCACGTGCTCCCGCTCTACTCACTGCTGGCGCCCGAGAAACAGGCTCAGGTAACGGGGCAGCCGGGGGGCACGCCAGGCCCTGCCAGTGGCTTCATCCACACCCCAGACTCGGGCTTTCATGGCCACGAACTAGAAGCGCCCGTCTTGACTGAGCTGCTCGGTCCGACTTTCCCACTCCTGGCCTGTACCCCCTGCCCCCCCAAAACATGCCCACCACACCCCGACACGGTCCCACACACACAAGACCCGCCTGCCTGTCAGCTGTCTCCTCACGCGCTGCCTGTCCCTCACATGGGCGCTGTCCTGCCCCCACCCCAGGTCTTCAAGCCTCCCCCGGAGGGGACACGGCTATGCGTGGTAGCCACCAATGTGGCTGAGACATCCCTCACCATCCCGGGCATCAAGTACGTGGTGGACTGCGGAAAGGTCAAGAAGCGTTTCTACGACCGTGTCACCGCCGTGTCGTCCTTCCGCGTCACCTGGGTCTCCCAGGCCTCTGCAGACCAGCGGGCAGGCCGCGCTGGCCGCACAGAGCCTGGCCACTGCTACAGGTGGGCTCCCGGCCACACGGTGCCACGTGCTGCCAGCCACTGCCCAGAGGGTCCCCCATAGGCGCAACCCACGTGCCACAATCCCTGTCCGAGAGTGGCATGTAGTGCAGTCACAGCGCGGCACGTCCCCGCCAGCATGACCACGCCACCCTCTAGAGCACACACGTGTGCATGGGACACGCAGCACCCCTTGCGCATCTGTGCCCTGCACGAGCCCACTCCTCACGTGTGCCCATCACATGCCCCTCCCCTCACATGTGCCCACCATGTACCTACCCCATCACGTGTGCCCGCCACATGCCCACCCCATCACGTGTGCCCACCACGTGCCCACCCCTCACGTGTGCCCGCCATGTGCCCACCCTTCACGTGTGCTCGCCGTGTGCCCACCCCTCACGTGTGCCCGCCGTGTGCCCACCCCTCACGTGTGCCCGCCGTGTGCCCACCCCTCACGTGTTCCCGCTGTGTGCCCACCCCTCACGTGTGCCCACCGTGTGCCACCCCTCACGTGTGCCCGCCGTGTGCCCACCCCTCCGTCCACTCTGATCCACGTGCTGTTCCGCCGGGCCGTGTCCAGGCCCATCCACACGTGGCCTGGACAGGTGCTCCAGCCCGCTCTGGGTCGTGTCCCCCTGAGGCCCTGACCAGGCCACTGAAGCCCTGGGGCAGGTGTCTGCCCGTTCCAGCGCAGCCACGGCTGGGTTCAGAGCTCTGAGCACTGGCCATCTCGTCTGCACGGCCACAGTGTCCCTGCCGTCACGGTGGTCGCGTGTCACCGCGTCCATATGCTCAGCTGGGTGGCTTGTTTGCAGCTGGGCGGTTTGTCCTCCCACTGCCGAGCCGCGGGGTCTGTCCCCGGTCTCAGTCAGGTTCCTCGGGGGGAGTGTGGGGCCACTCGGGCCGTGCTGGCGCTGGCCCGTGGGGGGCTCTCCTGGTGAGGCGCAGGGCGGGTTGGGCAGGGCAGCCTCGGGCGTGGCCTGTCCTGGCTCTGTGTCCCCCCACGTGCTCTTCCTGTTTCATTTGGGGTCACACCTAGCAGTGATCAGGGCTGACTCCTGGTTCTGACTCAGGGATCACTCCAGGCCAATTCGGGGACTGTATGGGGAGCAGGGGTCGAACCCGGGTCTGCCGCGTGCAAGGCAGGCGCCTCCCTGCCGTACTCTGGCTCCTGCGTGATAGAACCAAGGGACCCGAGACAGTATTTGGAGGAGCCTGCTGGGGCTGACTGTGTTCAGCACACGCCGGGGCCAGGCTCTGCTCTGAGGTGGTCACCCCCTGCAGGTGTCCCCGCTGCTGACTGCCCCACAGGCTGAAGACTCGCCCGCACCCACTGCTCGGGAAGTGGGGGGTTCGGTGTGGCTGAGGGGCACTCGTGTCCGGCAGGTTGCTGGCCTGATCTTCCGGATGGCCTCTCCCCGCAGGCTCTACTCCTCCGCAGTTTTCGGGGACTTCGAGAAGTTTCCTCCTCCTGAGATCACCCGGAGGCCCGTGGAGGACTTGATCCTGCAGATGAAGGCGCTCAACATCGAGAAGGTGGGCCGGGCCGGGGTGGTCCGGGTGGTCCGTGTCTGGGGCAGAATGTTCTGTCCATTGTTTCTTCCCCTGCCCGGGGCCACAGCCATGAGCATGAGGGAGGGGCCAGCATCTGTCTGCTGTGGCTTTCTGGCCTAGGTGCTTGCCTCTGTTGCATCCCTTGGTGCCTGAGCCGCTGGTCGTCTGGGCCCTGTGGGCCAGGCCTGGGTGCCCTCGGCCGCAGTCATCACCCAGCTTGTCCCTGGGCAGAGGGGCCTGTCCTCTGCCGTTTTCCTGCCTCTCCCACGCATTGGGCGCCCGCTGACTGAGTGGACGCTCAGTGACTGGTGCTCACAGGAGGGTCAGTGAGGCCCCCCCACGTGGACCCGGGGGTGTCCAGGCCCCAGCAGTGTGCCTGGGCCCACTGCTCATGTAGGGTCACGTCCAGCTTCTCTGCATTAACTCCTGTACCACCCTGTGTCGCCACCCCCACCCCCCCACCCCTGTGTCCCAGGTCATCAACTTCCCCTTCCCTACGCCCCCTTCTGTGGAGTCTCTCATCGCAGCCGAGGAGCTGCTGGTAGCTCTGGGCGCCCTGGAGGCACCCCCGAGGACAGCAAGGTAGGGAGGGCCGGCTGGGCCGGGCGGGTGGACGGGCGTGCAGGGGCGCCCCCTGCAGGTGTCCCCACTGCTGACCGCCCCGCAGGCTGAAGCAGCTGCAGAGTCTACAGCTGAGCTGCCCCATCACGGCGCTGGGCAGGACCATGGCCGGCTTCCCTGTGGCACCCCGCTACGCCAAGATGTTGGCGCTGAGCAGCCAGCATGGCTGTCTGCCCTACGCCGTCACCGTCGTGGCCGCCATGACCGTCCGGGAGCTATTCGAGGAGCTGGACAGGTGCGGGACCACCTGGGGCCAGGGACTTCTGGGGGACCCTCCTCCGTGCTGAGCTCCAGGATGGGCTGCGGCCACACCGGTCCCCTGAACACCCCCCCCCCCGCCCTGGCCCCACCGGTTCTGAGGGCTTCAGGGCGGGGCAAGTCCCCAGCTGGGCCTTGCGCTCTGGACATGGCGTGAGTCTCCACGCTTGCCACGTGACCGTGGCCTGCCCTAGACTCTGCTGTCCTCGCTGCCCGGCCTCACCGTGGGCCGGCTGGGCACTCTGCCCTGGTCTGACCGGACACTCCATCCGCAGGCCGGCGTCCAGCGACCAGGAGCTTGCCCAGCTGAAGGTCCGCCGGGCGCGGGTGGCCCAGATGAAGCGGGTCTGGGCCGGACAGGGCGCATCGCTGAAGCTTGGCGACGTCATGGTGCTGCTGGGTGAGTGAGGCGGGCGGGTGCGTCTTTCTGGTGCTCGGGCCCCAGCCCAGCCTGAGCCTGCCCTGAGCCTGCCCTCCCGCAGGTGCCGTGGGGGCCTGTGAGTTTGCAGGCTGCTCGCCGCAGTTCTGCGAGGCCCACGGGCTGCGGTACAAGGCCATGCTGGAGATCCGCCGTCTGCGTGGCCAGCTGACCACGGCAGGTGCGTACCGTCCCCGCTGCTCCTCTGCGCCCAGTGCTGCGTCTCCTGCATCTGTCCCGTCCCCTTGTGCACTTGCCCCCCCACCTCCTTCTGGGGTCCCCGGTCGGGTGGGGGGCTGTGTTGGCCTGCGTACGACGGGGACCAGAGTCAGGGTACAGTGTCCCAGGTGCAGGGCCCCTCCCTGCCCCAGCCCTGCACTGTTCTCGGACCCTTGGCCGCATATTCGGCCTGCGCAGAGCTGAGACCCTGCCCTTTCCAGCCTCACTGTTCTGGACTTTGCGGTCACGGGCAGTGAGTGGGGCCATCTAGTCACTGTCCTTCAGTCATTGCTGGGTCCCTGGCCACAACTCTGAGCAGCCGCCGGCCTGGACTGGGAAAGGCTCCCACTGTCCAGGTGCGGGGAGGATGGCGTGGGCCAGGATTTCCCCAGGACCCTCCTATCACCCTCAGCACCCATGAAGGGCACCGAGCCCTCGGCCACCGAAGCTGAACAGGGAGGAGGGTTGGGGGAGGGGCAGCCCAAGCCGCAGGCGCCCAGTGGCCCCGGAGGTCAGCCCCTGCCTCCCCCCACCCTGCAGTCAATACTGTGTGCCCCGAGGTCGGACTCTTCGTGGACCCCCAGATGCAACCCCCCTCCGAGAGCCAGGTCACCTTCCTGCGGCAGATCGTGGTGGCCGGCATGGGCGACCACCTGGCCCGCAGGGTGCAGAGCGAAGAGCTGTTGGACCCCGCCTGGAAGAACGCCTACAAGGTGGGTGCGGCCCCACCTCACACCTGCCTCTTCCTGTGGCCCTCGACCGTGGGCTTCTGCTCTGGGGGACAGCGCCACGTGGACAGACGCCTGGGCCGTGAGGGCGATTCAGGGCCCGCGCCCTGGACTCAGCCCCATCCCCGCTCCCGTAGACGCCCCTGCTCGACGACCCCGTCTTCATCCACCCCGGCTCCGTGCTCTTCAGGGAGCTCCCCGAGTTCGTGGTCTACCAGGAGATCGTGGAGACCACCAAGATGTACATGAAAGGTAGCGCGCGGTCGCCCTGGCTGTGGGCGGGCTGGGTGGCCGGCGCTGACCCGCCTCCCTGCGTCCAGGCGTCTCGGCCGTGGAGCCCCAGTGGGTGCCGCAGCTGCTGCCGTCCTACTGCCAGTTCGACCCGCCGCGGGAGGACCCGCCCCCCGCCTACTGCGACACGCGGGGCCGCGTGCAGTGCCACCGCAGTAGCGTGTTCTGTGAGTCAGGGACAGTGTGTGTGGGCTGGCAGCCCCCCTGCCCCCTGCCCCCCACTCACCGGATCCCACCCTCAGATCGCGTCGGCTGGCCCCTCCCCGCCGTCCAGGTGGATTTCCCCGACGGCATCGACTGCTACAAGCACTTTGCCCGCTTCTTGCTGGAAGGACAGGTAGGCACCATGCTCCCCGCACTGTGCTCCCACGCCGTTCTCCCTCCCAGAACTGAGCCTCCGTCCGTCTCCCCAGGTCTTCCCCAAGCTGGCCTCATTCTGCAGCAGTCTGCTGTCCAGCCCTGGCACCATGCTGAAGACGTGGGCCAGGTACAGCCCTGCGGCCCCCAGGGTCAGCGTTGCTGGGCAGGGCTGGGTCTGATGGCTCCGCCCTGACCCCGTGACCCCTCCTGCCCGCAGGCTGCAGCCCCGCACCGAGCACCTCCTGCAGGCATTGGTCACCCAGAAGGCTGACAGCCGCGACGCTGTGCTGGCCGCCTGGGAGAAGAACCCAAGATGTGAGTGGGCAGGGAGCCAGGGGGTCAGGAGGGCCCAGGTGTGCCTGGGGTGGAGGAGGGGAGGTCAGGAGGGGGCTCAGATGGGGGCCAGGGTCAGGCGGGGAGGGCCAGGGCAGCCTCTGACCCGCCCCACCCGCAGACCTGCTGCCCGAGTACTGCGAGTGGCTGCCACAGTCCCTGCACAGCGCTGTGGAGAAGGCCTGGCCCCCACGCTGACCCTGCTGACCTCAGCCTGAGCCTGACTGCAGTCTGCTCCAAGGAGCACAGAACCGAGCTATTGGTGCCGGCTCCCCCGGCCTGTTCCCTGGAATGGGGGGCGCCCCCGGGAGCACCCCACACAGCAGGTGCCCCTGGAATGGCCAGCGAGTGGCCAGCCCAGCTGGGCTGGCGGGGACACTGGCCGCTCCGCTCGCTCCCACCGGCTGCCGTGGCTGGAGGGGAGGAATTGGCAGGGCTGGGGGGCCCTGGGGAATAAAGTCGCTCCCCCACAGCGCTGTCCGTCACTGGGGGCCTCTGTCGGGTCGCGGTGCTCCAGCCCCAGTAGCTGGCCGCATGCTGGGTCTGGCTGGGAGGCTCATGGGGCGTCCCCGGGCATGGCACAGGGCTGGCTCCTGCCCACGGCTGTCCACCTTCGCTGTCGGGGGGAGAGTCCAGGGCATGGGCCGAGGTGGTGCAGTGGCCGCTGAGTGCTGGAGCTCAGGGTGTGACTCTGCACAGATGTCGGGGAAGCCCCTGGGGCCTGCTAGGTGGACAGTAGCAGTCCCTCCCTGACCCCTGCCGCTGGTCAGCCCTGTCTGTGCTGCCCTGCCCTGGCCCGGGTCCTGCACCTTCCCGGTGTTCACCGGCCATGGCCCTGAGGGACACCCATGCGGCGTCCTCCCTCAGCCTAGCATGGACCTGACGCAGCTGTCGGGGTCCACAGCCGGATAGCATGTGGGCGGCACCAGCATTGTGCCAGCTGCCCTGATACCGTCATGCCATTCCTGAACCATGAAAGTCAGCTGGGGGCGGCAGGACTTGAACCCAGGCCCTGTGTGTGGAGCCTGTGCCCCAGCCCAGGCCCTCTGGCTGAAGGCCACCTTTTCCTGTGGGTCTTCCCAGCAGGACCAGGGAAGCCAAGGCCAGCGTCCCACCCTCCCGTAGTCATGGACACATGCAGGTTTACTTCCACAAGACTCAATGATTTTTTTTCATTTTTTATAATTTTATTTATTGAATCACCATGAGAGCAGTTACAAAGCTTTCAGGTCTACGTCTCGGTCATACAAAGAAACACCCGGACCTTCACCAGTGCCCATTCTTCACCCCCAACAACCCCAGTATATCTCCATCCCACACCCTCCCCCTACCAGTGGGGCAGATGGTTTCCACATTACTCTCTCTACTTTGATCACATTCAATATTTCGACACCAGACCCACCATTATTATTTGAGATTTTACCCCAACACTCAGATCTGCTGAAAAGGCAACAGTAGACAATTTGTTTTCTATTGCTGGTTATGAATAATATATGATGTCGCATGGCTGCAGTAGTGGCTGCGCAATTTTGAAATTCCGAAATTTTAACACTTAAATCTGGAGGGATTTCTGCCAAAACCTGCTGGGTTCCAAGATTTGCTCCTGAGTCTTTGGGACCATGGCTGTTAAACAGCTTGATCAAGAGCCAGTGAGGCCGTTCGTGGGCGATGACTTGGGGTCTCGTTGTTGGGGTGGGGAGGACAGGAATGGCTCCACCACCATCCCGTGAGGCCCTGTGTATCTCGTCACTGCGGGCCCAAACCTGACTGTCCAGTGGCCTCTGGAGGATGGCGGCCACCAGGCCGTCGGGGATCAGGCCAATGCATGAAACCTATTCCCACCTGGGTTGGCCTGACAGTGGTAACCTACTGCAGGGACCGGACACATTTCTTCCAAAAGCCACTGGGTTTTGAGATTTGTTTCCGAGTCTCTGGGATCATGGCCGTTACGCAGTTCAATCAGGAACCAGAGAGGCCATCCTCCAATTATATAGCTGAGCCGGAGGTGGTTTGTGGGTGTGTCTCCCACATACCTAACTTTTGGCCGTTTACTTTCTTGGTAAACTTTGCCCCAAGTTTTTGGGTTCAGGCCAAAGGTACAGCAGCAATTTTGGGATATCTGGAAGTCTGAAGGCACCATCAGGCTGCTGATGCACTCCTTTCATAGGTACAGATTGACCTGCTGGTGGCACCATACCCCCAGACTCAATTATTCTTACACAAGCTATCTGTGAAGGCCCATAGGACAGACAGGGCCAGGCCAGGCGGCCACTTGCCTTGGGAACCCTGTTCCATCCCAGCCGCCCCCAGGCAGCTGTAAATGTTCCGGCCGTTGTACATGGCCTGTGTGTCCAGGGGAAGCGTTTGGGGAGTCCTATCTGCTGGAGTCCCTTTCCTGGAGAGCCCCGAGCCCCCAGTCACGGCCTGGGCCTGACTGCACCCCAGTGTCTGTTCCACCCTCCTGCCGGGCGAGCCCTGCTCCTCAGTCCCTGCGGGGGCACCTCAGCACCGCCGCAGCTGCCCGTGTGTGCCACGCTGTGTGGGTCTCGGAGTACAGCATCCAGCTGCGGCCCTGCCCAGGGGCAGCCAGGCCCCAGGCCCCTGAGCACATCACGGGTGCACGCAAACGCAGGCTCTGCGCAGCCGCGGGCCCTTCCCTGTATCCTCGGTCCTGCCCCCAGGAGCCAGCCAGAGCCCCAACAGGCCCACTCAGCACCAGGTCCTTCCGGGGTCCTTCCCGGCCCAGCCCCCCAGGACCTCCAGAACCCCCCAGAACCCCAGCTAACTAGCAGCCCGGGTGTCCTCCACGGTGCCACCAGGGGGCGCGGCTGCACCTAAGCCCGAGGCGGCCAGTCCCCGGGAGGGTCAGTGTCACCTGCCCGGTACCCGCGAACCGGGCACGAGGCTTCCGGCCCTCCCCCCATCCCCCGCAGCACCCACGCTCCGACCCCAGGGCCTTGGCACCGCCGCAGCCCCCGCGGGCAGGCCTGCCAAAGAGCTCGTGTAGCGCGCCATGTACGCGCCCAGCTGCCGCCCCGGGGCAGCAGTCAGCGTCCAGGGGGGCCCGGCCGGGGGAGGGGGGGCGCGGGGGACAGGGCGGCCGTGGACACGCCGCGCCGGAGCCAAGGCCTCGGGTGGGTCCCGCAGCTGCCTTCCGGGGACCTGGGTCACGCTCCTCCGGGCCGGGGCGGCTGCGGGGCGGCCCGGAGGCGGCGGCGGGGCGGGCTTCCCGGAGGAGGCGGCGGCGGCAGAGCGCGGCCTGGCGGCGGCGGCGGCGCCCGAGACACTCAGGAGGCGGGGAGCGCCCGGCAGGCGCACGGCGCCGAAATAGCTCAGTTGGGAGAGCGTTAGACTGAAGATCTAAAGGTCCCTGGTTCGATCCCGGGTTTCGGCAGCCCTTTTTGGCGCTTTCCCTGTGGCCGGACGCGAGGGGGGCCGGGGTCGCTTCACTTTTGCCGAGGGTCGCGGAGACCCCCGGCCCGGCTCGAGCCCACGCGCGCCTCTGCTCCTCCCCGCGGCGCGGGCGTCTGTGTCCGCGTGTCCGTCACGCGCGGCGGCGGGGGCGGAGGGCCGGGGGGCGGGCGGTGGGGGTCGCGGCGGGGCGGGGTCCCGGCGGGCTGCGGGCGGGGGCGTCCAGAGGGTCGCGGGGGCGCACGGGGTCCCAGGAGCGGGGTCCGGGGGTTTGAGCGGGATCCGGGGTCCGGGCGGGGGCGTCCAGGAGGCCGTGGCGGGCGGGCGGGGTCCCGGGTGCGGGGTCGGGGGTCTGGGCGGGGTCCCGGGTCCGGGCGGGCGGGCGGGGCGCGTCCTCTAGCCGGCGCAGCGCGCGGGCCCTGCGGCCCGTCCTCGTTAGTATAGTGGTGAGTATCCCCGCCTGTCACGCGGGAGACCGGGGTTCGATTCCCCGACGGGGAGGCCGTGTCGCTTTTTTTTCTCCCTCGGTTTCCCCCCTTTTCCCGCGGCAGGCCCGTGGCGGGCGTGCGGGCGCCGCGGGACCCCAGACCGGAAGACCACCCCAGCACACCGCGGCCCGGTCCCCTGCACGGGGAGCTCGGACCCGAACCCTCGGCCTCCGGAAGCCGGGAAGAGCCGCGGAGGAGGGTCCAGTGGGCCCAGGCGGCCCCGAGGACGCAGCCCGCGGAGCCCGCACCCGCACCTGCCTTGGGGGGCGGCGCCAGGGCCGCGGGAATCAGAAGCCGCCGCCCGGGGTCCCGCACACGCCCCTCAGCGGAGAGCACGAGACCTGAGACGGCAGAGAGCTGCCCCGCCTGGTCAGCACCGGGCCTGGCCGCGACAGCCGGGGTCGCCGGGCCGGGGAGCAGAGCGGGCCGAGGGGGTCCTGCCTCTGCGACACACCGGGGGCACCGCAGGGGTCAGGGCAGGCAACGTCGGGAGGAGAAGGGCCACGGTGGGCAGGAGCCAGGGAGCGACCCCCAGTGAGCAACCGGGCAGGGCCTGCGGGAACTGCACGCCCGACCCGGCCAGGCACCCTGACACGGAGGGGCCGGCCGCCAGGGTGTCGGCTGGGGTCTCGGTTACTGCCATCGGGTGTGGTGTCGTGGGACCCCTTAACACATTAGTGTCCTGGCAGAGGAAGGGGCCAAGACCCCCCTGTCCTCATGCAGCGGAGATGCAGCCAGCTGCCCCGGGGTCCTGGGCCTTCTTTTCTCTTGCTTTCTCTTTCTCCTCCATTTATGGATGCGGCTTCAGTGCTCGGATCCAGTGCTCACCGTGCTCCAGGCGCTGTTGCAGGCCTGGGACGTGGAAGGAAGCAGGGTGGCCCCGCCCTGCCCAGCTGAGCCTCCTTCCCTGGGAGGGTCACAGAAGACACCCGAGTTCCCAGAGCGGTAAAGGCTGCCACACAGAGCACTGGGCGCAGAGTACTGGGCGCAGAGCTAGTGCTGGGGCTCCCCAGTGAGAAGGCTGCGGGCTGGGACCAGGAGAAGGAGCCAGTCCTTGGATTCCAGGCTCAGGGCCGGCAGGGAGCCTTTCGGGGGCCTGTTCTGAGCTGGGGAGTTGGGGGGGGCGTGGCAGGGCTCAGGGGGGACCCTCCCCCCCAGCAGGATGGAAGCAGCGTTAGCCTGTAAGAACAGTTCACTGCAGGACGCACACACGCCACGTTTCCATGGCAGCCCACCCTAAAGATGAATCTGGCGGACCCAGAGATGGGGCTTGCAGGAAGGGACACGGGTGGCCAGGGAGAGAGGAGGGGGACAGGTCACATGCCAGGAAGGGGGCTCTGTCTAG